CCACACATAAAAACCTGGCAAAAATTATTGGAATGCGTTTTTTCTATCTCGTTTTAAGCCTACTCTTACGCAGTCTGCGAAAACGCACCCAGCGCACGCACATGAATATAAGCACACGCACACACAGTACATTCACATATTAGACATAAATATGTATGCTTGTACTATATATTCAAATGCAGTATATAATTCATGTAGCAGGCATAGAAAAGTGGCAGCCAAAAAAAAAAAATTTGCAAAACACGCGTTGACAGAGTTGCCAAATATTTTTTTTTTTTTTTTTTTTAATTTTAGCTTTTATTTATTAGCAGGTTAAGTAAGTTGGAAGCGGCTGTAGTTGGACATACCAGCACAGTTATCGTTGTAGTACCACTCAGTATCTCTTCTCTTGCTTTTCATAAAAACGAAAATGTGGGTTTGACAAATTTTAGCAACCTCTTTGTTTTCATGCCCACTATATCGCCTATGGCCTTAAATGTTTCAGCACTTATAATCCTCAGTCTCCTCCTCGCCTTTGTGACACATTCCCAATGGTATTTCCCATACACTGAAAAAATATTTAAGTTAAGAAAATGGTTACAATTATCATGTATTGAGAGAAATATGTATATTTGCCTGACTTTTTTCTAAGTGTAAATAGGAGTCAAGCACTCAATTAAGCACTAATCGAGCAATTAAGAATTGACATTTTGTGCGGTAAATCGAGCTCAATTAGCACCTTAAACGAGATAACTTGGCTAATTGCTCTATTATCGGCCTGTTAGATCACACCTTTACTAATGAAGACGCCTTCTCGTTTTCCAAGCTCCCACACAAGTCATTAAAAGGCACTCCCGAGTCCCTCCGCATGCATCCTTAAAATTATTTGAGCTGTCAGTAGACCCATAGCCAAGGAGATTTCTCCTCTGCTTTGCTTAACGAGCTCCCTCCACCTTTTCATGTGCCCCTCCCTATGGCACCTATTTGATCGCGATTAAAAAACTGAGTGCATGCACTCTCTATGCGTAGAAAAAGTAGAACTTCTTTTGATTCATTTCTAGTTTGTGTCATACCTACGGTAAAAAAACTTCAGTATTAATCTTGAACCTAGCCTCGCCGACAGCAAATTGACTAAAAATGTTCCTTGTAATCCACGTAGAAAACCTCTTTTGAACAGTAAAAAGTTACTCCGACTTAATCAAGCTTGGCAACCCTAAAATGGCTAAAAACAAAACTAGAAAAAATCGGTATGGACGACAACAGCCCGAGCTGTCGATGCAGCTTCAAAGGAGGCAACATCAGCAAGGGGGTGACCATAACAATAACAAAAGCAACACAAGCAACAAGAACAGTTGAGCATAGCTAACCAAAACGAATGTGTAGATACAACGACGCCAACTTCGTCGTCGTAGCAACAACAGAGCGATATTGCATCTAACTGTCCGGCGGGCGTAGCAGCAGCTGCAGCAGCAACAGGGAATTGGTTTGTGCGGGTCAAAATGTAAATAGCAAAAAAAAAAAGCCAAACAAAAAATTAAAAAAGGTAAAGAGGCTGGAGCAAAAGATTTGCTAAAAAATGGAAAAAATTCTTGAAAAGGGGTAGCTGAAAAAAATGTGTAAAAATTGGAGAGTAAAAAATGGGTGGCGAAGTGAGTGTGTAAATTGAAGGCGCTCAGAACGAAAGGATAAATTTGTAACGAGAGAGAGAGAGGTGAGGAATAAGCAGAGAGGAGATGGCAGAGAAGCAGAGGGGTAAGGAGGCGAGCGGCGGCTAACAAATAAGCGGCTATGAATAGTAAAGTGGGAGTTGAAGATGAGGTTGCGGCTAAAGAAGAGTAATGAAAACGAAGGCAAATGATGAAGCGTGTGGTGTTGCAAGTAGATGAGCTGATGCTGATGCTGTGATGCTGACTGGACAGATATTAAGGAAATGATGTGACTAAAAGGATGTAAAGACAACGCATAGCTCGATGAGCGAAGAAGTGGCGATTTTCAAAGTTACTAGGCGCACTGGCAGCTATGTACATAAAAAATCATTATGGCTATGCTGATGCTAATTTTATACTCATTTAAGAACCACAAGTATGCATACATACCATAATGATTGTGTGCTGGAAATAATGAAAATTTAAAAAATGAGTCAAAAACGAGAGCAGCGCTGACTCGGCGTATTGCGGATGCAAGGGCAAAAGCGTTGTGGTAGCTGTTTAAAAATGTGACGGCTGGTACACAAAAATATATGTAAATATCTGCAACAGTAAGCAATTATAATGAAGCAGCAAATTATAAACATCTATCTTATTCAGATTCCATTATAATCAATCGTCATCATCATCATCATCATCATCATCAACACCTTCTCCACACTGCTATCCACCTCAGCAGCGCTATTAGCTGCGCGCCAACAACAACACAAATAATATCTATACAAAAAAGCATCAAAGCACCCTTAATAAAATTCCACAACAACATTAACAGCAACAATAGCAACGAGCACCATCATTACCAGCAGCATTATTACCAGCCAAGCAGCTACGCATCATGTGTATGACGTCGACCGGCTTCCTCCTCCGCCCGCAGCAAGTAGGGTTACGAAAAAGCACGTGAAACAGTCCAGTTCAATTCACTGCACTCCACTTCACTACCTACACACCAGCTCCGTCCAGCTCAAAGCAAAACAAGCAGTTAGTGAATGCCTAAAAAGCGAGCGACACGCTACACACATTCAAATCGTACTGGTGAAAATGCAAAACACAAAACAAACAACAAAAAGAAAATGCAAAGAAAATCCCTATTTTTATTGTTGTTTTTGCTTTTCTTTACTATTTTTTATTATTCAAAAGCACGCGCGCGCATATTTAAACATACATACATACATACATACATTTGTACAAAAAAAAAAGGTTGGTATGCCCATTAATATGTACTAGGAATGGTAATCCCGGGACCGCGGCCTTTTTTAAGGTTCCGAAAATCTGGGACTCTTGGCAAATAATCCCGGTATTATCGGGATTTGTAATTTGCGCTTATGGCACTAATAGAAACTCTTTTTCTTGACCAGTATTGGCTAAATTTCTTAATTTTTTTATTTAATAATTAAAATTTTTTTATGAAAAGTAAATTTTTTCATACAAAGATCAATATTTTAGCAAAACCAGGGACCAAATATAGTGAAATTGCGTTTTTAGTTGTTTACTCTGACGTAAGTAACTCAAAAATGATTTAAAAAATTCAGTGAAAGGTGCTTAGAGAAGAACTATGGCTACAAATTAAGGAGGAAATTCTGTAGAATTTAAACAGATTCAATTTTTTGGTGCATAAGGACTGGTAAGTATTGTAAGTGTTCATTTAAAATTTTATCCTTGAAATTTGCAATATTTGTTTTTGAAAAAATTATATGTTAAGGACTTATATAAACTCGACAGCTTGCTCGAATTTCGTCCTTCTAACTTTATGAGCTTAAAAAAATATCCACTCGTCCTTGTGCATGCGAAAAAAATATAATTTTTTTTTAAATTATATAGAAATTTCCTATTTCATTTGATACCCATATAAATATTTATTTCACATTGCAATGAATTTTTTTTATAATTTTTGAAATTAATCATATCTTTGAAATTAAAAAGTCCACAAAGATAAATAAATGGGGTCAGAGAAAAAAATAAAAACGCCACTTTAAATAAAAAAAAAATAGGTTTTAAACCCTTTTATTTCTTATTTATTTTATGGTAGGAGAGATAGAAGCATTTTTTTTTTCGATTTAATTCTCGGGATCCCGATAGTGTTATAACGACATCCCGATAACCCCGGGATCGTAGAAAGCGAACAAATTAACATCCCTAATATGCACATATGTATGTGTGTATGTAGGAAGGGCCAGCGGGTCGTGTCTGGCTTTGGCCGTTTTGAAGAGTGTGCAATTGCAGCGTCCAACGTAGAGCCATGCCAACGAATAAAGCGACGCGTGCCACTGTGGGCCAAGGGCAGCAAAGGCGTTGGGAAAATTGGTGATCCTCGTGATCAAAAACTAAACATGTATATTAGGGTGGTCCTCCAAATATCAAAGTCTAAATTTGCAGAACTTTTGCGACTAAAATAAATAAATTTTATCCAACCCCCATAGCAGCCCCTAATTTTTAATGTTGATTACGTTTCTGCCAAAAAATGTTGCTCTTGCACAGTGCAAAATGTATTTGGTGTTACACTTAGCCCTCTGAAAAAGCAAGGCAAAACCTTCTTGTTCTTGTCTAGCTCACGCATTTCTTAACATTATCGTTTTAAGCAACCATCTGATTTTCAGGGCACCCATCTCCAATGACAAAGCTTCAAAGCGCAGAAAATGTGCCTTTTTTGCCTTACAAGAGTGTGATATTTTAAGAAACGAACACACGATTTTCTCACCGTTTACCCTTATTTTAGAATCGGACGCGGGAAGAGAAAGGGGCAATCAAAATGCAAATTTTTTTTTTTTTTTAAATAAAATCAATATAAATTTTAAACTTTTAGTGGATATTCTTATTTTTACATAGAATGTTGATATTTTAAGGATCGCCGTAATGTATATGCGCAACTTCCTCAAGTGACCCAACTTTTGAAATCGATGTCTTCCGATGGGGATGAAATTTCTTCAATTTTTTGATTTAGTTTTTTTAATCATTTTTTTTACCTTTTTTCATAAAGGGCTGATCTTGGCTTAAACAAGCTTGTTGATGTCGCAGTGACCTGGCACACAGCACAGAGTTACCATGTTTCTCGAAGACAAGATTCCAAAAATGCCAAAACACTTCTTAAAGAGATGGTAGTTCTATTGAATAGTAGCATTCTTCCACAGACCATCCCAATCGCAATAGAAAGTTTAGTGTCAAATCTATGTAAATATATGTAAACCCTCGCAACTAAATTGTCTTCCATCCCTTACCCGTCTATACACTCGTATCTATGTACGTGCAGAAGCCCCTCTAGAGTTGCGTTTGAAATTGTGCTCATTGATCCTATTACCGAGACTAAAGCCAAACTTTGAAGCAGATTAAACGCTCGAAACAAAGCGCACATTTATTTATTAAAGCGAGTGATAATATCGATATTCTCGTAGACACATTTACATAACAATAAAGCACACAACTTCGAATAGAATAAACCCAATTGAAAAGTGTATCTGCAGCTGCTTATAGCTGCTTATCGAACTGCTTGTGGCGAGCAAATTATCGTCAAACGACCGGCTTGTTGCGGGCATCCACCAGAGAGCGAATCATCAGACATTTAGCGATGGCGTACGTACGCTTACAAGCACAAGTTTCCGTGCTGAAATGGAAGTATGCAATTTCTTTTTTTAGAGAATAGGCGCAATAACAAAATATTGGTAACTTCAATGTGTTGAGCTTACTTACATCCTTCATTCTGGCAGACTGGAATCGAATCTCCGGTTGCTGGCCACATTGTTTGCATGATCAGTGCACGATTCAATTGCCAATTTCGCATAAGTCCAGTTTTCTCCATGTAACAGTGCATGAAACACTACGAAGTTGAAGATTTTTTTTTATGACATATGTCATTAACATTTGGTTTTGATTTTACTAGTGTTTTTTTTTTCTTCTTCGTTATGATTTACTCACCATGCTTGTTTTGTCCGCCGTATTTGGTAATTCCGCAGTTTCATTGAATTGTTGGATATACTCTAAGAATGTTATTTGATAGTTAAGTATTGTGGGAATGTTTCTTATTTTTTATTATTATTTTTTTTTTGTGATACGCACCGATTGGTGTAGGGAAACTTGCATTACATGTGCGCACTGCGGCCTCGAAATCGAAACCCATTGCACTTGGATTTTCTGCCATAGTAGTTTTCGTTTCCATGGACGGCTGCACATCTAATCTATTATTCATGCTGTTCGTTTGGGCATTTGCCAAACTTGTAGCCAAAAACAACAGCACAGAGAGAGTCATGCCAAGTTGATGGTTTACCATTTTTTTAAATATTTTAAATACTCTTAACAGTTGCTCTGAATCCGAAACACTGAGCACTACAATTCGCACTAGTAGCTGCAGGCATGCGACGTCGATATTTATAAGAGTGAATCCATTAAATAATAACCCGTAGCCTTATGAATAATACAATGATATCGTATTTGACCCTAGGTACATACATACTTATTTCAATTGGGTGCGAAATTATGAATGATTTCCATCCATCAAAAAGGTAACAGTACCCTACGTTCAGCACACAAGGAAAAAGGTTTTGACAGCGTTTAATAATGAGAAGCCTATAACCATTACTATTATTATTATGCAATAAAAATACGATTACCATTACTCCTATATACCAATTCTATTGGCATTGCCACTACCAATAGCACTATCATATCCAGTACCAATACCGTTACCATGATTGGTTATGGATATGTAATACCAGGTCTTCAGGCCCATTGCACAGCGATCAAATTTGATCTATTGCGTCCCTTACCCTACATTTATTATTACCATTCCCAATAATTACTAATACCATTACTCTTACAGTTCCTGTTGACGTTAGGATTACCATTACCTTTACCAGTACCACTAATTACCAACACCAATACCACTATCATGACAATTACCATTACCGTTATCAATGCCATTACCGTTGTTATTACCCTTACCATTACCATACCATTTCAATTTGCATTACCCAAACTATTACCACTACTATCACCAGTAACATTACTATTACTATTGTCATTACCATCCCAATCGTCAATACAAATACCACCATTACTATCACCAATACCATTACTATTACTATCGTCTTTACCATTACTTTTGCAATCGTCAATACAATTACAATTACCAATACCATTACAATTTTCAATAAAATTACCATTGCCATTACCATTATCATTACCATAAGTATTACCACTACAATTATCATTATCAATGCCATTACCATTTCCAATTACCTTTACCATAACTAAATATTTTCAATTGTTATTTGCAGTTTTACTGACAGCCATAATAGACTGACAGTAGCGCCATGTAATGCAACCAACTGTACGCCAATTCTAGTAATTTGACGCAACAATCAAAATTGCAATTCACTTGATTGTTATTTATTTTATTAAAAAATAAAGGCAATTTCGCTAATTTATTGTCTAGTTTGCATTACAAGTACAACAAAATATTTGTTTGATATTAAAACTTCTGTAATTTCTCTTTCCCGTTATTATTATTATTATGAAATTACATTATAGCAAAATCATAGGTTTTAAAAAGTTAATAGCGCTACTTTGTAGTACTGGCTTTAGCAGTAACAGTACAAGAACGATTATTAATTCATTGATGCTTTTGTTTTGGTTGTTATATATTTTCCTTTGGTCTATATACATATGTATGTACATTAGGGTGGTCCAAAAATAGTAAAATTAGAATTATAATGCTCTAACCCCCTAGGATTTTTTTATATAGAAAAAAGTATACCCCTATTTTTTATTTTGAAATCAAAAAATATTTAGAGGTCACTTAAAGCGCTTAAAGTTTTCCATGTATTTATTGTATGGGAAAAATAAAATTTTTCGAAGAAATATTGAAAATCAATATTATTCGATCGGAAAACTCTGGTTCTTTTCAGAAGACTTTCAATAATAATACCCAATTGTTTATTTAACCATTTTTTAATAGTAACGATTTTTTATTGGTCACCCCATTGCAATTTTTCGGGGTTTTGTGGGTTTTTGGCGAACCTATAAATTAAAGTTGCGATGAAGAGATGGTTAAATAAACAATTGGGTATTATTATTAGGAATATCCTGGAGATAAACAGTTTTCTTGTAGAAAAATATTGATTTCAACTATTCTATACCATTACTACGAAAAGTTGTTTTTTCCCCATATACATAAAAATCATGAAAAACTTTATACGCTTTGAGCGACCTCTAAATATTTTTTTATTTGAAAATAAAAAAACAAAGGTACATTTTTTTCGGGGTAGAACAATCCTAGGGGGTGAGAGCATAAAAATTCCGACTTTACTTTTTCACATGCATTTTGGACCACCCTAATGTACATATGTATACATATTTATAATACTTGAATACATTTTTTATCAAGGCCATCAATCTGCACCTGCACCGGTCGATCGATTCCCAAAAATGAGGGGTCAAATTAAAGGTATTGGCCTGGTTATGTGCAATAAGATTTTGTTTTTTATAAAAGAGTTGCCACCCGTTAAAAAATTAAATTCAAATTACTAAACAATCAGCCATCAGATCCGCGCATTTCTTTCGATTTGAAAATATCTTATATCGATCTTACTAATTATACATTTACATATGTATTTTATACGAGAAGGCATTTTTTGTGATAGTTATTAGATTTGCACCGTTCTTTCGTATTTCAGTTACAGGGTGATCTGGAATTTAATGATATTAAAAACCGACACTCTGTTAGACCTCTCTGTACTTAGGAAACGGCTGCATGGATTAAAATGAAAGATGGATATTGCACAGCTTATAAGTCTGGCTAACATTTGGAATAGTTTCTAGGGTTTCGAATTAAAATGTTGGGCATTTTAACGCCCTGCGGGTGCACTAGTAGTATTTAATAATTCATGAGTAAATGTCAATGTCAAAACTATTTAGAATAAACTGCCCTAAATCATGATTGGTAATTGAGCTACTTGAACAAACATTTTAAATGAGCATACATAAACGGCCTTACACATACATAAATATTTAGTGTTGCCGACATGACGGGTTGCATTGTTGTGGTTTATTAATTTCGACAAACTACAACTTCAAAGGGAATTTCGACACGCCCCTAATAAACGTGCTCTTTTTTGGTAAGAAATCGCGTAGATGTTTCATAACTTTTTTGTTGACGGTGCTAGGGATTTTCTTCCATGTGTATGTTTTTTATAAGGAAGCCTAGATCTGTTAGTTGCAAAAAAAAATATTAAAAATCAACCCGAGTGCTTAGCCATTTGAAACTTGCACTTTATGATACAAAAAAATCAATGAGCTATAATACTGCATAACTAATTTGTCAATAATCCAAACAAAATCATTAAATTTTAGTGAACATTTATAATTNTTATTTGAAAATAAAAAAACAAAGGTACATTTTTTTCGGGGTAGAACAATCCTAGGGGGTGAGAGCATAAAAATTCCGACTTTACTTTTTCACATGCATTTTGGACCACCCTAATGTACATATGTATACATATTTATAATACTTGAATACATTTTTTATCAAGGCCATCAATCTGCACCTGCACCGGTCGATCGATTCCCAAAAATGAGGGGTCAAATTAAAGGTATTGGCCTGGTTAAGATTTTGTTTTTTATAAAAGAGTTGCCACCCGTTAAAAAATTAAATTCAAATTACTAAACAATCAGCCATCAGATCCGCGCATTTCTTTCGATTTGAAAATATCTTATATCGATCTTACTAATTATACATTTACATATGTATTTTATACGAGAAGGCATTTTTTGTGATAGTTATTAGATTTGCACCGTTCTTTCGTATTTCAGTTACAGGGTGATCTGGAATTTAATGATATTAAAAACCGACACTCTGTTAGACCTCTCTGTACTTAGGAAACGGCTGCATGGATTAAAATGAAAGATGGATATTGCACAGCTTATAAGTCTGGCTAACATTTGGAATAGTTTCTAGGGTTTTGAATTAAAATGTTGGGCATTTTAACGCCCTGCGGGTGCACTAGTAGTATTTAATAATTCATGAGTAAATGTCAATGTCAAAACTATTTAGAATAAACTGCCCTAAATCATGGTTGGTAATTGAGCTACATGAACAAACATTTTAAATGAGCATNCTTTTTCACATGCATTTTGGACCACCCTAATGTACATATGTATACATATTTATAATACTTGAATACATTTTTTATCAAGGCCATCAATCTGCACCTGCACCGGTCGATCGATTCCCAAAAATGAGGGGTCAAATTAAAGGTATTGGCCTGGTTATGTGCAATAAGATTTTGTTTTTTATAAAAGAGTTGCCACCCGTTAAAAAATTAAATTCAAATTACTAAACAATCAGCCATCAGATCCGCGCATTTCTTTCGATTTGAAAATATCTTATATCGATCTTACTAATTATACATTTACATATGTATTTTATACGAGAAGGCATTTTTTGTGATAGTTATTAGATTTGCACCGTTCTTTCGTATTTCAGTTACAGGGTGATCTGGAATTTAATGATATTAAAAACCGACACTCTGTTAGACCTCTCTGTACTTAGGAAACGGCTGCATGGATTAAAATGAAAGATGGATATTGCACAGCTTATAAGTCTGGCTAACATTTGGAATAGTTTCTAGGGTTTCGAATTAAAATGTTGGGCATTTTAACGCCCTGCGGGTGCACTAGTAGTATTTAATAATTCATGAGTAAATGTCAATGTCAAAACTATTTAGAATAAACTGCCCTAAATCATGATTGGTAATTGAGCTACTTGAACAAACATTTTAAATGAGCATACATAAACGGCCTTACACATACATAAATATTTAGTGTTGCCGACATGACGGGTTGCATTGTTGTGGTTTATTAATTTCGACAAACTACAACTTCAAAGGGAATTTCGACACGCCCCTAATAAACGTGCTCTTTTTTGGTAAGAAATCGCGTAGATGTTTCATAACTTTTTTGTTGACGGTGCTAGGGGATTTTCTTCCATGTGTATNACGTTATTTTGCAACTGACAACGTAATGTGTCTTCGGAGGTGTTCGTTTTGCCCTTTACTAGTAGATGACATTGGCCATGATGACAATTTTGGTACTAAAAACTGAAAGAAAACTTGGCTTACCTCGCAAGGTGCTTACCTATTCTCCCAGTGGGAAACGGCCTTACACATACATAAATATTTAGTGTTGCCGACATGACGGGTTGCATTGTTGTGGTTTATTAATTTCGACAAACTACAACTTCAAGTCAATGCTTCTTAAAGGGAATTTCGACACGCCCCTAATAAACGTGCTCTTTTTTGGTAAGAAATCGCGTAGATGTTCAATAATTTGTTTGTTGACGGTGCTAGGGATTTTCTTCCATGTGTACGTTTT